CTGGCACCGGGCTCGGGCGTGTTCGCTGCTCCGCGCGGTGATGGCTCAGCAGTTCCTGACGGGGAAGCACAAAAGCCCATTAGGAAGGATCCTGCTGTGCCGAGGAGCCCGGGCTGGCCGGGAGGGCAGCGCCCGGCTGGGACCCCGCAGGGCACAGGGAAGGATGCGAGTGACAGTTCGAGTGACAGAGCACCGAGCGGGGTTGGACCTCTTTGGGCACTGCCTGGGAACCTGCAGGGTCCTCGATGTGGCACCTCTGTGTGACAGGGGGCACCGGGACACGTCCTGGGAGCGACCGTGGGCACCGTCAGCGACTCGGGTTCTCCCTTGGTACCACGGGCAGCGCTGCCACCCTGCCCTCCATCACTGCCACCCTGCCCTCCATCACTGCCACCCTGCCCTCCATCTCTGCCACCCTGCTCTCCATCACTGCCACCCTGCCCTCCAGCACTGCCACCCTGCCCTCCAGCACTGCCACCCTGCCCTCCATCACTGCCCCGGGATGTACTCGGTGGGAAGGGTCAGTCCCCAGGGCAGCCCTTCCCTCATCCACCCTCTGGGATTTGCTGATTTAAATCCTCTCCCAGGGTTTTTTGCTCTGCTGTGTCATTGCTGTTGGGGACCTGCTGCCAGGCCCAGGTGGGGATGCACCACCCCACAGAAACTTCCCAAATGGCTTCCCAGGGCCGTGCATCCCATGAAATGGGAGAGGAACTGGGCACAAGTCTCGGAGCAGCCCCGAGTGAGGTCCCCCCGGGCTCTTGGCACACATGGAGTGGTGGCCCCAGGGCTGGTGCTGGGACAGGCATCGCTCCACAGCTTTCCATGGGATCAGAGGCCTCCTTGGAAAAGCTCTGGGGTTTTCCCTTTGTTTGCCCCTTCTATTTTTGCCTTGTGCCATCCTGTGTGGAGCCACCAGACCGTGGCATTCAGGGGGTCACTCGCCCTAATTAATCAGTCAGCCCTCCAAGCATGGCCCCAGTGCTGCTGGCACCAGCCACGCTCCTAATTAACTTCCCTAATTAAGAGGCCCCTTTCCATGGCCAGAAGGGCTGTGGGATGGTCCCCATGATGGAGAAACCCTCAACTTCTCCTCACCCTGAGCACCCAGAGGTGGCATCACAGAGCTGGAGGTGACCTGAGGCAGGAGGGGGAAGCTCAGAGCCCAAGGAGAGGCCGGAGGAAGGTGGGTGGAGATGAGAACTGAGCTCCCCACGCCCTGACTTGTCTCCCTGCAACAGCATTTCTTGGCTGCTGCCGAGCCCTGGGGGTTCAGTCAGGGTTTGGTCTCGCCAGGGCGGGCTCAGCCGGCCCCGACACGCCAAATCCTGTGGATCATCCACTGGCACCGGGCTGGGCACACACCGGCCCCT